ATGACGTCCTTCTCCTCGCTGCCTGGTGAACTCCTATCCATCCTCTAAGGCCCCGTCCAGCTTAGCCATATCCCAGATCCTCCACAGAATGAGTTCTTCTATTCTGTGTACCCACAGCAAGTTAAGGATGAGTTGATGAAAGCATTTGCCACACCAGGCTAAGCTTGCTTCTGTGTACAGCCCGCCTTCCCCACCATATCTGTGCCTTCAGCAATTCCTGGTTCAGCATATGCATGTGGAGCGACTGTGGAAGCGAGTAGATGAACAGAGTGCAGTAGGTACATCATTCGCTTAGGAATAAAGGGGGCATTTGGAGATGCAAAATGCACTGCAGTCTCTATACAAACCCAGGCTGAATAAAATGGGCTTCATGGACAAGGCCAGCACCTGAGGCTTCTCACTCCTGGTCAGCTGTAGTCGTGGTTCTGCAGCAAAGAGCAGTGTGCTCACCAGCCCTGGGGCTCTGAGCTCACAACACCTTCCTCTCCACCTCTAGAGCTGCAGGCCGAAGGAAGCAATTGGTGCCACTATGAAGTGCTGGGACTCCAACCGGGAAAGAGGGTGAGGCCATCAGAGTTGGGGATTTATGTGCCTGGAGGAAGGGTTGAGATGCTCAAGGTAGGAGAGCGCACCCTTTCTGTTGACACCATGGGAACAGCAGAAATCAGTTTTTCAGAAGCCAAAAATGTTGGCGGTGGTATTTGAAAGATGAGCAATTTCAAGTTCAAAAAGTAAGAAATAAAAACTAGTACAAAATAGGAAGAATGATCAAGAGTAGGAAACCTCTCCATCTCAGATGGCAGCATTGTGGGATTTATTGCAAAGAAAGGAAAGATGAGGAGAGCCAGGGAAATGTAAAGGCCTTAGAATGACGAAGCATGTGTGGGATATTTTATGCAAAATTAATATAAAACAGTTGGTGGTGGAAAAGGAATCACAGCAGCATGCACATTGTGTGGATAACCTCATAGGAAACCTCAAAACAATGTGAGACAATGGATAAGCAAACGCCACGTAAAGGGGCCACTGAAAGGTAAGAATTGTATGCCTCAATTATGCCTTGATCTTTATGTGTAGCTGCTTTCTAATGTATGCTTTTTCCTGTATTGTAAACTCTGGAAGACAAGAAAGGATTTCTTCATGCCGACTTTCCAGCACCTGGCATTGTACCAGGCATTCATTAACAATAGGAATTGAATTGAGGCACAAACACAATGACTTCCACATTAAAATACCATTTAATAGAGTTGACCTGGAAGGAACATATGATTATCTTTACAAATCAGGTGCATTTAGGTAGATGAAAGGAACTAAAATGAGCCAATGGTGGTCCAGTAAGTAAATAGCATAGAAGATTATTTGGTGAGAATGACAAGGCAGCTTCCCAGAGAAGAAAAGAAACTTGGCAAAGGTGTTAGTGGAAGAACGGCCTGATCTTGATTCTGCCACTTACCTGTGACCTCAGGTGCACCTCATAAGCTTTGTGGATAAATCGATATGCTTTACATAAACACAGATGTAATTCTTACTGACTATAAAAGTAACACATGCTTATTGTTAAAAAAGAAATACAGAAAATGATAATAAAATACAAATGTTGCCTGCAACTTCATTTGCCACACATAATTACCTTTACCATTTGTGTGCATTGCCTTCCAGTTTTTTTGCATGCATTGATTTTTTAAATTTCCTTCCTGAAATTGGATTAATACATCTCGTTTTTATTCTGCTTTTGAAAGTTAACATTTTCTTTTGAGCATTGCCTAACATTGTTAAACATTATTTTTAAATGCTTTTGTAATGCTGTATAGTATACCATCTAATACATATATTCATTAATGCAGTAAGCAAATATTTAATAAATGTTCAGGGGGCCAGATCCTTGGCTAAGCCCTAGAGCTAACAGTGGGAAACAAGGAAGCAGAGGGTTATGGAGACAGGAAAATGTGGGATTGTAAACACACATAGGTGAGTATTACCATTGACTTAGACCTTCCTCTCTTGTTAGTCATTTATCCGGCATTTTTGACATTGTAACCAATACATCAAGGCCTCATAGCGGAGGTCACAACCTGAACCTACACTGAGCCTGCTGAGTGCTGGAGATAAGGTGCTAAGTGCAGACACAAGGGCGATGTTTTCCCTGCTGCATTTCTGAGAATGGATAGATGGTTTGGAAAGTATCCTAACCACCTGGCTCACGGACTTCGAGCCCCAGTGGGAAAAAAGGCTGTTGCCCAAACAGAATGCTATTTTCAGGAGGGCCTCCAGAAGACACAGGATATGAACAGCCCAGGCAGGATTCCAGCGGCACAGAGTGGCCTCCTGAGACAGAGTCCATGGTGCCCCTCAGGGTCAGAGCTGGAGGCGGTGAAGACAGTGTGCTCAGCGGGACAGCAACGTCCTCTGGGTGGCCACTGCGTCAGCACAGGCCAGACTCCTCAAGGGGCTTGCAGCACAGGAGAAAGTGAAGGCATTCTGGTTTCCATGGTAACTGTAATTGTGGCTCTTACTTGGTTTGGTGCAGGTTTTCTAAGTCTTTAAGAAATAATTGCGGGAGGAAGGTGCTGCGCGCAGGGCTGGAGGTCGTGCGTGGGCAGATGGGGGCAGGAGTTACTCCTGTTTGGGTGTCTGATGAAAACTAGCTGGGAGAGTCGGGCTACCTGAGGAACTGACTGCAGGACTGGTTCTGCAGGTATGAACCATGTCAGGGCTCGAATACATCCTGCCAGTGTGAATTCCAGGAGCACAGCCTCAATTTACACCCCACCATCGAAGTGTGAAAGCGCCATGCCCCTACCCCTGTGTCCCTGTTAGCCTCCAGGATGTTTAGAAACTTGAAGATTTTTAAATATTTTATCTTTGAGCAGCCCAGGCAGGATACCAGGGGGCACACAGTGGCCTCTGAGACAGACGCCACGGTGCCCCTCGGGGTTAGAGCCACAGCTCAGATGGGGGATGGTGTCTTAGCCGGACAGCAGCATTCTCTCCCAGGGCAATGCACTATTTCTGGTATTTTATCTTTGCCAATCTGATGCTATTTAAATGGCATGTTGTTTTAATTTCCATTTTTGTATACTTAAAAAAGATGGCTTTCTCACATATTGATCAATTTTCATTCTCTTCCTAAGCAAACTATCTTTCTATGTCTCCTCATTTTAAAACATTGCAATGGTAGTGTTTCTCATATGGATTGCTATCTATGTGTTAAGGATATTTACCTTTCAGTTTTACATTTGTTGCAGGTCTTTTTCTCATTTGTCTTTTGCCATTTAGTTTTGTTTATATTTATTTTTGTTTAATTTGATTTTTGGCATATAAAATATTTTAACCTTCATACAGTCAAACCGATCAGTCATTCTCTTTGATTGTATCATTTTATTGTATGATAGAAAGTCCTGCTCTATCCTGGACCCACTTAAATAGTGAGCGTATTTTTCTTATGTTTTTAATGGTTTCCTTTTTTCACTTTTGTCCCTAAATTTATCAGGAATGTTTTTGGAACATAGTTAACGGAAAGAAGAGAATGCAATCTCTATTTGTTTCCCCTGTGTAGCTATTTTTCCAGTGCTATTTGTTGGATAACACCCCTTTTCTCTTCTTTTACAATGTATCCTTTATCACATTTTAGATCTTCATTTAAACTTCTCAAGTTTCAGTGCTTTTTTACCTTTTACAAAAAATTATATTTCTATTGTAATGTTAATTTTTGATTTATGGAAGTATTTCAGATAATGAGAATATCTATTATTTTTCTTCCAGCTGCACTTTTGATTTATTTTTATTAAGTTCTAAAAATAATTCTGCTAATACCTAGTATATCGCATACTAGTTCACTTAATCTTCAAAAATCTTTGAAAAGTATATTTTGTAATTTCCACTTTATAGTTGGAGCAATTTAAAGTCAAAAAATCCTAGAAACCTGCCAACGTTGCTAATACATTTTAGCAGATGAAACTGGTAGACCAGCATTTCTACCATGTCCCTCTGATGGTAAATCTCAAGTCCTCCAAATCTCACAGAGATCTTCTAGGATTTTAATGATTATATTTGAACCAAAATCCTCAAAATATTCCTCTGAAAGTCTTTTTGGTGTTAAGAACCAGTGAAGAAATGCTTCATCAAAGAGAGTGAGGGATATGAGGAAGAAAAGGTGAGGGAAGGGGTTTTAGACTTGCCTGTTCCTCGGCTGCATTTGCTGGTCTCTGCATCCAGTTCCAGGAACACAATCACCTCCACCGACGTTACTCAGGTCTCTCTTCTTTGCCATTTACACATGGGGTTTAAAGTCTCCACAGGGCCAGAGGTGCTGTTATTATGAATCAAAACAGTTTCCCCAGTACAATGGGGATTGATTGTTTATCAACTATGGAAGAGCAAAGAATTCACAGTGATTTCAAGAGTAACTGCTAAAATCATGGTAACAGCTAAAATTGTGAGCTCGTTTTGTCACCTGAAATTTCAGTTGAGGTGTCTAACTTAAAGGGCAGTGCTTTGTGTATCCTGAACGTTATCTTCCTGTAGAAAAAAAGTGGTACCTCAATAGCTTCTATAGTTTTCCAATTTGAGTAATTTGCAATTTTCAAAGAAAAATACATTTCCAGTCTGGTTGAAAGAAAATATAGCGAATGTTGGGATAGTGGCCAGAATTGAATTTCTTCACTCCTAAGTTGGATAATTCTGTATTATCAGCCAATCCATTGAAGAAAACAGGAGTTAAATCTTCATCCGAAAGGTGAGCTCTCACATAGGAAGTTAATGGCTAATAGTGTGATATGGTTTGGCCATGTCCCCACTCAAATCTCATCTTGGATTCCCACATGTTGTAGGAGGGACCCAGTGGGAGGCAATTAAATCATGAGGGCAGATCTTTCCCGTGCTGTTCTTATGATAGTGAATAAGTCTCACAAGATCTGATGGTTCTAGAAGGGGAAGTTTCCCCGCATAATCGAAAATGTCGCTCTTTTTTTGCCTGCTGCCGTTCATGTAAGATGTGACTTGCTCCTCCTTGCCTTCCACCACGATCGTGAGGCCTCCCCAGCTATGTGGAACTGTAAGTCCATTAAACCTCTTTCTTTTGTAAATTGCCCAGCCTCAGGTATGTCCTTATTAGCAGCATGAAAACAGACTAATACATAGTGAAATTTATTTTATTAGTATTTCTTCAAGATTTCTAGCATTGTGTGGCTATGATACGAGGAAAAAAGCAAACCTATGTGGATATTTTTCTACATGAATGCTTTTGCTCTCAAAATAGTAAAAGAAATTCCTTTGGAGAAGTTGCATGCATGCATCTTTTTGCATGGATTGTCCTATTGTTCACTCGATCTGTAAACTCCAGTACAGGCAACTCCAGCTCATTGTTCTGCCAAATGCAGTTGTCACAGAGGTCTAAAGAAGTTTTTTTCTTGAAGGAGGAGCTATTTCATTCCCAAGTAACCAGATACACTTAAAATATCTAATGGAAGTAACTGGTGGATTTTCTCTCAAACCTTAAAATGCTCTCAATTAAAAAACTTTTCCAGAGAGAGAAGAAAATTGCCAATGCTGAGATTTATGTAGTAATTGTATTCATTTTGAAATGTGATAGATATTAGGTATTGTGGCAGATTGTGAGATAATATTCATCTCTCTTGTAAAACATATATTCCCATGGGTTATCTAGAAAGTATTAGACGTTTCGACCAGAATAAAGTATCATCTATTTCCAGGAGACTTTTCCCATCAGGGCTTTTGAGCAGACCTTGAAAACAAATCTACGTATCCTTCTCCTGTCTTTGTGAACCATTCATGTGATAATTCTGGGACTGGCTTGGAACTCCCCACCCCATCACAGAGACCAATACACATTCCGTGCTATTGGGGTACTAGGTGGAATATCCCACAGTTCAGAATTAGGTTTTCAGTTTCATCCCTCAAAACAAAGAATTTTCAAAAATTCCCCTATGTGGCCTGCTGGAATATCTAAATCTGGTTTTCAGTGTGGGACTTGTTGTACTATAAACAAAAGTCTATTACATTTAGGAAAATAGAAAAATCCCAGATTTGTTTCAAAGTAGTCAATTTGTGCATGAGTCGTCTCTCTCTCTCTCTCTCTCTCTCTGTGTGTGTGTGTGTGTGTGTGTGTGTGTGTGTGTGTGAAAATTAGACTGTTTTCATATTTCCAAGAAGATTCTAGGTTTTGCTTTATGGCTGAGCACATTCAGAATGAATGTTCCTCATGTCACTCGTCACCAGAGTCCTGGAAGAACCAGAGACAAGAGATGGGATTGGAGCAGCTGTTTGTACTGCTGCAGGGAGGGAACACCTCCTGGACCCACCCACAGTCCCACCCTGAGTGCCTTGGCACAGCCTCAGGAGGGTTACTGCCCTGTCTGCAGCCACAGTGCCTGGTGAGCAGCCCTTTCTCTAGGGCTGTCAAAGCCAGATCTGAACCCACAGCCACAGCCAGGTAATTCTGAGAAAGTGAAGAATCTAAGACTGTGTGGCAGATCCACGGTGCATTTCTGTGAACCACATTTTCAGCTAGTGCCAGAGCGTCTGCAGTCTGCAACACCTCTCCAGTAGCCCTTCTCTTTAAGTTTCAAGTAGGAAAGAACAAGGCAGCCTGTAGTCCCAGCATTTTGGGAGGCCAAGCTGGGCAGATCACGAAGTCAAGGGCTCAAGACCAGCCTGGCCAACATGGCGAAACCCCATCTCTACTAAAAATACAAAAATTAGCCAGGTGTGGTGGCACACTTTTGTAATCCCAACTACTCGGGACGCTGAGGCAGGAGAAATGCTTGAACCCAGGAGGCGGAGGTTGCAGTGAGCCGAGATAGAGAGGTTGCGCTCCAGCCTGGGCAACAGAGTGAGTGTGGCTCTGTAAAAAAAAAAAAAAAAAAAAAAAAAAAAGAGAGAAGAGCAAGGCAGTCAGACATAAACACTCAGAATGCAAGCCCCGCCTATGCCCACGTCCACAAGCTGGTGTGGCCCTCAGTTTTCAGAGCATAGGCCAATTCAGGGGACATGTTTAGAACAATGCGTGGAGGTCATGATGACTCTTGCTTCAGCTGTCCACAGGGCACCACAGGCTTACACAGGCAGACATGGCCTTGGTCATAGTGCTGGACTGGAAACCCCCCTTCTTTGCTAACAGATCAACAATGAATCGTGACCTTAGAGATTAAGTGATCCTACCCTCTTAAGGCTGTAATAATGGGTATATCACCATAGCTTTGCTATAAAAAGTTTATTCTCTTCTGGGAAAATATATCTTAAATCTCTTTTCTGTATCATCTGGTCTTACTTATTTACACACACCCTGAAAATCATATATTTCCTTCATCCTAGGCACTTTTTGCAATAAAAACTGATATTTAACCCATCAGCAAGTCCCGTGGGTTTTACATCTAAAACACATTTTAAATCCATTTATGCAGTCACTGTCCCCCACCATCTATCCCCCTCATCCTCTCCGGTAATAGAACTTGGAAATTTCAGCTGGGTGCGAGATTTCATTTCCCAGTCTTCCTTGTAACCAGCCACGACCAATAGGATGTAATTAGACATCGTGTGTGAACTTCCAAAAAATGTCCTTAAAGGAAGGGAGCAGGCATTTCTCCTTCTCTTCATACTTTGCTTCTAATTGGAATGCAAACCTGATGGCTAGACCTAAAGCAGCTATCTTGGACAATAAGGTAAGCTTCAGAATGAAGGCCATGCATGATGGGACAAGACAGAAAATCCTGGGTGTTTTGTACAAGCATCCTATCAGCTCTGGACTGCATACCTAGAATTCTGTGGGAGAAATGAACTTCCATCTCCTTTAAACCCTGCTTTTACTTAGGGTTTGGGGTCACTTGTGGCTGAAACTAATCCTAACTAATACGTTCCACGACTTTATCCAGGATCACCTGGTTGCCGTCATGTCTCATTTGGACACCTGGCTGTCTCCCTGCTTTCTTTCTACCGAAGCAATCACAGGGATCTTTACAAGGACAATCAGATCACGTTACTGCCCTGTTTCAAGCCCTCTGATGGCTCCTCATTGTACTTAGAATAAAATCCAAACACCCTGAGATGGTCTCCGCCATCCCTGGCACCTCTTATCCTACCCCTAAGCACCTCACATGTTGCACTCAGCCGTGCTGGCTCCGCCCTGTTCCTGCAGGAAGCCTGGGCTGTTCCTGCCTCAGGCCTTGGCACTTGCTGTTCCCTCTGCTGGGGGCACTCTCTCCCCACACCTTAGCGTCCAGTCCTTCTCACCCTGTGGATTTCAGTTGAAATACACATCGCCAACCGAGCCTTTCCCTGGCTGCCTGATGTAGTGTTTGCCTGTCCCCATCCACTGGTCTGATTTCCATGTCAGAGCATCAGTCAGGATCTGAGTGGAGGCCATGCTGCCTGAGCCTTTCTCTTCTTCTCGCAGTGGGAGGTGGACTCAGTGGGAAGGGGAACCCTTTCATTCCTGCTTAGTTTCATATTTTAAACACCTAGAAAGTGTGTGGCTCTTGGTAGGCATTTAATATAAATTTTTTTAAAAAAAGAAATGAAACTTTTTTCTTCCACTTTATGAAAATTTTAGAGAAATTTCTCTTAAACCTTTGTTCTGTCTAAGATTTCATGCTGATGCCACTCTTCCTTGCCCACCCCAAGGCTCTTCCAGGGATTCGTCCCTTTCTTCAATGACACTTTAAGTATCTCTGACTTGTCCTTAACACATTTGAATCCTGGGGTGTTTGTGGATCTATGTTCTCCTCCAGATGAGAGCTTTGAAGGGCAGGGATCTCGTCTTATTCGACTTGGCACTCTCAGGACCAGGCATCGCACCTGGCCGTGCTTATTTTCACAAAAGAATGGGTTCCATTTTGAAGGACCACCGAATTTTGCTTTGGATAATTGATCTGCAATCACTATCCAAGTTGTCTACTTTTGTAATCTCCACGGCATGGTTGGTAGGAGGAAGGACTAAAGGAGAAGTTTTCAAGTTGCCCAGCTTCTCTGTGGTCTGGCTGGTTTTGCTTTGCACCACATTGAAGCTTCTATCTGGTCCACCAGCCTCCAGTGAAAACAACTCTGCCTGCTTTATTCCCAGGGTGATTTTTGCGAACCAAGGTTATAGTGGTGCCTTCTAGGAAGGGAGCCTTCTGGGAAGTGTGGCCTGGAAAAGACTGGAGGAACAGAAAAAGAGGAGAGGAAACCCCAGGAGGAGGAAAACAGAAGTGAAAATATGGTGACCATTGGTTACAACAGATTTAGTTGTTATCCTTGGTAGATCTTGGGAGGTGGAACTAGGGGACCAAGCAGGTCAGCAGCCACCGCAGGGCTCATGGCTTTTGAACGGTGGACAGTAGAGAAATGGCTGCCCACTGGCACCAGGTTTTCATCATCGGCACAATTGAAATTTGGGGTTGGATACTTTCTTATGTTGGGGATGCTATCTCACACACTGTAAAACGTATGGCAGCATCCCTGGCCTCTACCCAACAGATGCCAGCAGCACACCTGTCCTCAAAGACTTTTGACAACCGAAAATGCCTCCAGCTATTGCCAGATGTTCCCTGAGGGTAAAATCACTCCCTTCAATTGAAGATTTTCCTGGATGCTTCAAACACGTGGTGCATGCTCTTTGTGAACAAGGACACTTCTGGCGACTGCAGGGAGGCGATTTTTCTGATGAAGATACGCTCAGGGTGGTCTCACGGGGAGTGGAAGCCACCTAATGGTACCATGAGTCCAGGGAGAGCTGGGAGCAAGAGGCTCGCACACCAACCAGTAAAGGAGCACTCCCTGGCTGGACATGTGGCTGCAGTGAGGCAATGGCTCCGGCTCTGATGCCTTCCAGCAGGGCATCCATCACTTCCCAACTTCCCTCAGGCCCCACTCTTCGCTATTGCTTACCCCAACCCATTCCTCCTTTCTGTGACCTCTCAGGCCCTAAAAGGGATCTGAGTTCGTCATCCTTGGAGCAAAGCATCAACAGGTGCTGGTGACAGAAATTACACTGACAGGCCAGGAAGTCCTAGAATCTCTGTTTAGTGCACCTTCTTAATATTTCAATGTGCATACGTAACTCCTCACATGTAAGGACTATCTGGTCCATATCTCAGACTTTATGAGGATTATTACAAGTACTGTGTCCTAGGAACATCCCAGAACGTTACTGGAGAAATCAGGAGCCTTTGTCCTCTGGAGCTGCTTAGTGCTGGGGTTACTTCTCTGTTTTGCAAATCTCTGGAATGGGCACCTCCAATACATCAGGGTCTGACCACAACTTCTACCTGCTCTAACTCTGAGACCTGGGCCCCTTGCTCACTGGAGGGCCAAGCTCACCATCACCCCCAATGCCCCCTAAATCTCAGGCTTGCATTAAGTGCGTCTTCTTCTTTTCCCCGCCGGGCTCCTGGGGCTAGTGATGGGAATGCACCCGGTGCAGCAGCTGCAGCATGCTTCCAGCCACGTCCTCATTAGGCTGTCAATTCTGGACCCCCAGAAAATGACCAGGCTGTCACATCTCTAAGAAAATGTGCAAATCCGCCCTGAATTCTGCCCCCAGCCCGCCTGCCATTCCTCCAAATGGCGGTGTTTGCAACAGTTTTCTACCTCCCAGAGGAGGCTCCACATTTCCCCAGTAATGTTCTGGGATGTTCCTGGGCACACAGTACTTGTAATAATCTTCATAAAATCTGAGATACGGGCCAGACGTTCTCACAGTGAACTTATATGTGAGGAGTTACGTATGAAGAACCACCCCTTCTCCTATTCAAAGCCAATCCTCCACTGCGCCTGTGACCCCCACCCTTCGTTTCCATATTGGATGCTGCTCCATGAGGTAGTTGCTATATCTGGTTTTATTCCTCTCTATGGTCTGCTTTCTTAAAGCCTTTGAGCCTGAGGACATTTCACTCTTTTTTTTTTTTTTTTTTTTGAGACAGAGTCTCGCTCTGTTGCCCAGGCTGGACACTCTTTTTAAAAATCCCTCCCTCCACCCTTGTCATCAGCTCCAGCTCCATCTCACCTCTTCTCATCGTAAAGTCAGGGACCTGGACATCGTTTCTTGTTTTCTGGCCTATCATATGGTCTGTCTTGGAGAATGTTCCATGTGCTGATGGAAAGAATGCCTATTGTGCAGTTTGGGGGTAGAATGTTATGTAAATATCTGTTACGTCTATTTGTCCTAGGGTATAATTTAAGTCCACTGTTTCTGTGTTGACTTTCTGTTTTGATGACTTCTGTAGTGCTGTCCGTGGAGTATTGAAGTCCCCACTATTATTGGGTACCATCTAGCTCATTTCTTTGGTCTAGTGGTCATTGCTTTATGAATTTGGGAGCTTGGGAGTTAGGTGCATATATATTTAGGATTCTGATATTTTCTTGTTGGACTTATACTTTTATCATTCTGTAACATCTCTTTTTGTCTTTTTTTTAACTGTTGTTGCTCTCAAGTCTGTTTTGTCTATTATAAGAACAGCTACTTCTGCTCACTTTTGGTTCCCATCTGCATGGAATATTTTTTGCTACCCCTTTACCTTAAGTTTATGTGAGTCTCTATGTGTTAGGTGAGGCTCTTGAAGACAGCAGATACTTGGTTGGTGGATTTTTTTCCATTTTTATCCATTCTGCCTTTCTGTAGCTTTTAAGGGGAGCATTTAGGCCATTTACATTCAACATTACTATTGAGAAGTGAGGTACTGCTCTATTCATCATGCTAGCTTTTGCCTAAATACCTCATTTTTTTTTCATTGTTATTGGTTTATAGGCCCTGTAAGATTTGTGCTTTAAGGAGGTTCTGTTGTGGTATATTTTTAGATTTTGTTTCAAGATTTAAAACTCCTTTTACCAGTTCTTGTGGTATAGACTTGGTAATGGTGAATTGTCTCAGCATTTGTTTGTCAAAAAAGACCTTATCTCTCCATCATTTATGAAGCTTAGTTTTGCTGGATACAATATTCTTAACTGATGATTATTTTGTTTAAGGAGGCTCAAGATAGGACCCCAATCTGTTCTGGCTTGTAAGGTTTCTGCTGAGAAATCAGCTATTAATCTGATAGGTTTTGCTTTACAGGTCACCTGATGCTTTTGTCTCACAGCTTTTAAGATTCCTTCCTTTGGACTTTAGATAACCTGATAACTATGTACCTAGGTGATGATCTTTTTGTGATGAATTTTCCAGGAGTTCTTTGAGCTTCTTGCAGCAAAGCCAGAGAAGTTTTCCTCAATTATTCCCTCAAATAAATTTTCCATACTTTAATATTTCCCTTCTTCCTCGGGAACACCAATTATTCTTACATTTGGCCATTTAACATAATCCCAAATTTCTTGGAGCCTTCGTTCATTTTTTTATGCTTTTTTCTTTGTCTTTGTCTGATTGGGTTAATTCACAAGCTTTGTCTTTGAGCTCTGAAGTTCTTTCTTCTACTTGTTCTAGTCTATTGTTGAAACTTTCCACTACATTTTGTATTTATTTAGGTGTGTGTTTCATTTCCAGAAGTTGTTATTGTTTTTTCTTTATGATATCTATTTCTCTGGAGGGTTTTTGGTCCATATTCTTTTTTTAAATTTCTTTAAGTTGGTTTTCACCTTTCTTGAGTAGCTTAATAATCAACCCTCTGAATTATTTATCTGGCAATTTAGAGATTTCTTCTTGGCTTTGATCCATTGCTGGGAAGCTAGTGTGATATTTTGATGGTGTTATAGAACCCAGTTTTGTCATATTACCAGAATTACTTTTCTGGTTCCTTGTCATTTAGGTAGACTATTTCTTAAAATTGTTCTTGAATTTATTTCTCATTGGACTGTGTTTTGGTTTTTGTTCTTGTTTTCTTTCTTTTTTCCCTCTCAAGGATCAGACTTTAATGTTTATTTTATCCTAATTTGATTCTTGGTGACTGTAGGGGTAAAGACTCTGTATGAGATCCTTAGTTACAGAGTTTTTGTGCACTGGTTTTCCCTGATGCTCGTTGTAGCAGTTACATTCTTGGTGTGTGGATGAGTTCACTGTCTCCTATGGAGTTGGAATGGCAGGAATCTCTTAAAGCTTATCTTATTCTCTGACGGTGTATACTTTATCTATTTATAAATTTTTTTCCTGCTGTTTTATTTACTGCATTGATGATTCAGTCTTCAGGCCAATCAGGGAGGTAACCCTGGGTAGGCACCCATTGTCACCAAGGCAGGTGGGTAGATGTAACAGCCAACAGTGGGCCAAGGCCCCAGGTTTTATCAGGGTGAAGAGTGAGAGCTACCTCAGCTCCCCTCCCAGGTCAGCAGCAAAGCTATTCACCCAACAGCCTCACTCCTGTCCTGGTGTTTTAGCTATTCGATCAGGCACCTCCTTTCATCTATAGGAATGTTGATTCTCCAAGTAGGGAGGAATTATGACTCTTCCTCTCGTACAGGCCTGAATCTGGAGTATGGTCCTCCTGTGGGGCTGCACTCAATTTGGACTGTTCCAGAATGGCTGTCTGTAGGTGCCTTCGTGCTGCATTCCTGTGGGAGAAGCCCCAGCTATGTCTTCAGAGGAGTACCGGAGGGGAACAAGGACCCCTTCTCCAAGGCCCTTCATGATCACAGAGGCTGCCTGTCTGTTGGGGTATAGGTGCAGACTTTCCCTATAGCACCAAGCACTGCAGTTGTGTCTCTGCTGTGAGAAACTGTCCACTCAGAAAGATCTGGAACTCAAGGTCCGCTGTTCAGATTTTTTTTGTCCTGCAGATGTGGTGCTTGATGAGGTGCTCTCCCCCTTCCCCTAGGGATCGGGCTTCCTGAGAGCCAGGCTGCAGTGGTTGTTATTGCCCTTCTGGATCTAGCCACCCAGAAGGGGCTACCAGGCTCCAGGCTGGTGCTGGGGAGTGTCTGCAAAGAGTCCCGTGATGTGGTCCATGTTCTGGTCTCCCAGCCATGGATACCAGCACCTGCTCTGATGGAGGTGGCAGAAGAGTGAAGTAGGCTCTGTGAGAGGCCCTGGTTGTAGATATGTTTTGTGTGCTGGCTTTCTTAAATGCTGGTTATACGATTGGTGAAGTTGTCATGTGATCTGACTCAGGGCCTCTGGTTAGCCAATATGTTGCAGGCTATGGGATTAACTGCTGTTTTCTCCTTCTTTGGAGCAGGGTTACTCTGTCATGAGTTGCTGTGATGGCCTGAGTTGGTTGACCTCTAGCCAGGAGGTGGGACTTACAAGAGAGCACCAACTGCAGTAATAGAAGGGGGATAGAAGCTTGCCCTAAGTTGGCCAGGGTGAGTATTCTGGTTACTCAGGCAATGGTTGGGGTCATAAAGCTCCCAAGAGTGTTTGTCTTTTGTGTTCAGCTGCCAGGGCAGGTAGAGAAAAACCATCAGATGGGGGCTGGGGGTAGGGTTAGATGGGTCTGGGCTCAGAGTCTCCTTGGGTGGGAATTGTCGCAAGTACTGTTGGGGATGTGGGGGTGGTTCTCAGGCCAGTGGGGTTATATTCCAGAGGGGTGCATAGCTACCTCTGCTTAGCAGTATTGTTCACCAGGGAAGTGGGGAAAGTCAGCATCGAAAAGTCTCTCCCACCTCCCACACAGGTAGCACGGCCAGTCTCGCTCCCACCGTGCTCCACTAACAGCACTGAGTTTATCTCCAGACAGCCTGTGTTGGGCGGGTGGGCGGGGACACTCAGACCTGGCCCCAGGCCATACTCTACTGAGCAAGTAAGCTCAGTTTTCAGCCCCTCCCCATCTGCCTACTATGTCGGCTGAGGCTCCTGCCCTCCTATCTCCTATCTGCAGCAGATTCCATTCACCCCCAGATTCTGCTCCAGAAACGTAATGTCCAGTCAAAATTATTGCACAATTCAGTTGCAAGCTTCTTACAGCCAGTGACCCTTCCCGCATTCTGCTTGGTGCCTTCTCTGAAGGCCGCTGTGAGATATAGTCAGGGATGGGCTCAAGCTGAGACTGGGAGTGCCTATAAGGCTCTGCCCGCTGCTGCTGCTTCTACTTTTATATTTTGCGTGGCTCCCTAAATCCATTTCAGCTCCAGGTAAAGTTAAATCCTTCTCCCTTGATCTGGATTTTCAGATTCCCCAGTGGGGATGTGTTTTCGGAGGCAAGTTTTCACCTCTCATAGTTTGGGTGACAGTTTTCCACCCGTCTCGGGATGTGCAGCGGTATGCCACTTCTTTCAAAGGATCTGTGAATTCTCTTGGTTTTCCTGCCGTGGTTCTTGGGTCAAGATGTGGTGTGAATCTCCAAACACTGTTCTGTCCATCCACATGGGAGCTGGAGTTAGTCTTCTCTCCTATCTGCCATCTTCTCATCATCCCCATTAGGTATTTCCCACCAGATATTCTTTGGGCAGAGAAATCTCAGATAGCTGTCCGATCACAGTCTAACTGCTTAAAGAGGGGCCTTGGACGGAGGCTTCCAGGCCACAGTTTATACAAGAAGAAGTTTTGTAATCAACTGGCTTAAACCTAGGCAGGAAAGATAACTCTCGCTCATGCTCCTGGGCCAGCAGCTCTGCCCTGAGCCCGGTACCCTGGCATCGGTCAGACAGTGGGCACTCTTTTCCGCCTGCTCTTGGGAGCTGTGCTCAGTCACTGCAGCTTTGCCGGCTGTGGGCAAGGTCTGTTCGTTTACGGTTACAGCTCAGACTGTTCCCGTGAGCGCCTGGCCTGCCCTGATTTCCTCTCTCATGGAATATGGGAAGCTCTGCAAACTCAGGAGAAGAGGGGCTCCTCTGACGGAAGACATTGTCTTGTAAGAACCCGCACTAGTTTAGGATTAAAGCATGAGGTGTTCTCAGTGGAAATATTCTGAAGCCAAAATAAATAAAAAAGAAAAAGTGGAAAAGAGTCAAACAGGCAATTATTTGCAATAGGAAAAAAACTATTGATTTTCCTTTTTGATACATAGTCTAAATTATCCCTCAAGAAAAGTAGTAATGCATCTTTAAACAGATTTATTGGTTCTAAGAGGGAAAAAATGTATTATTTAACTTCAATGCTATTGGATTTTTCTTTTATGTTGGATATAGAAATAGGACAGACGAACAGAGTGGGACGAGAAAATTCCTTCAAGAATCACAGTTGTTGTGGATCCCAAGGTAAGAGACTCTGGCATTTCTCTCAAAGCAGTACGAGTTTGTAAATAAAAGATCATTTTTCTGGCTAAATAAATTATATTGCACAGTTAAGAAACGTACATTTTTCACAAGACCTGAAGTTCCTGTGGGTGGAGTGAACAAACCACAGAGATCCCCCAGCATGTCCTATAGGCTCAAGTTCTTTCTTGTGAAGGAATTTTGCCCTGGGCAGAATCCTGTGACTTCTCTGATCCTGGAGCTTCACGTCCCTTCTCTGAGCTGGAATCTCCCCGTGTGTCTCACTCGTTGGCTTCTGAGATCAGAAAATACACAAACTGCTGACACACAGAGATGTGTCTCAGTCGGCTACAAACAGGAGCGTGTGGTTGGTGGAAAGAGCCGGGGCCTGCTTTTCCCAGCTCCTCATCCTGGGCCTCCTTAGAAGGGACCTTGAGTTCCGTGGGGTGTGGCACATTTGGGGTCCCGCAGTCTGTGGGCCTGGTCCTGCATCTGTCTAGGCACCTGTTCTGTGGCCTTGCAAACCACTTCACCCAGGTGTCGTCATCTGTCACTCAGAGGCAATCTCAGGTGACCTTGCTGAATCATCACAAACAAAAACTACTCAGAATGATTTGAAAACATTTTTCAAATGTAAAAGTGCTCTAAAAGCCATGGATGAAAATTTCAAGCCACCACTACCAGCCAAGCCCCTCATCACATTTATTCCTTACAGTTCAGCAGTTTAGGACGGTTTTGTGCTTGTTTCAATAACTGGGCTCTCTCAATTACCTAGGGATGTATTCACTGGGATTCCATATAAAATAACCCATAAAACTAGTGTTCAGAAACCATCAGGCACTCATGATAGCAAAGGAAGCTCCTGGGCCGCCCTCCTCCCCACTCCTTCAACCACACTTCTCCCTACAGCTGCCTGGGCGTTTTCAGTCCCATGCCTGCAGGTGATGCAGATTCTGGCACAGAAAAGGAAGCACCACCACTGCTCACTCCGTTCCACGCGGCAGTTCTTTCCTCTCTCAGTGATGATTGCGGTCTGCTGGCCAGGCCTGGGGTTTTCTACTTCTAGTCTGGGAACTAGGAGTAATAAGCATGCCAGAGCAATCCGCACTTGTGTTGAAGAGCTGCATTCTGTTCCAGTGGCTTTGGACTAGAAAATCTCCTTCCCTGTTCAATCAACAAGATGAGGCAAGAGTTGTCTTGGTCATACAACAACATAGGGCATAAAGGGTCTTCCCACATGGTCATCTGCAGTCATCTGGTACACTTTCCTCTCAACCTCCCTTCCCATAGGTACACATGCCTGCCTGGACCTCATCCCTTCTACCGACAGAACTCAGCAGTCATTTATTTGAGGACAAGCAGCAGATCATATTCTATATGCCAACATACGTATCTGGGGAGACTGGCTGGTTGCAAGGGTTTGTAACCACCTTCCAGGCAGATGACAAGATGGAACCTTCTCGACATACACCTCAGTTACAAGTCAAGTCAATAAAAGCCTGGTTGCACGAAAGAGGACAATGCATAAAGACTGGCTGTATATCTTTGTTTGGTTTGAGTAAGAAATGCTTCCATTCAATGAGGCCACTGAGTTTATGATCAAATCTCCTGGTAAAGAATAGAGCACAGAGAAACCCACATTCTTACCGTGTGACAAATGAGACTGTGAACATGGACCCTTCTTTAAAACTCCAGCTAATTCAGGTTGCAGAATGAAGTGTGCCATGTCATAATTAATCCCTCATGTATTGCAAGCAATTTAATGTCAAAATAATCGACAGGAGCGTTTTTTACCCTTTTGTGAGTACATAATAAATACTGTCATTTAGCTGCAGCAAACATTGGATTTCTTTCCTGGTCTTTGAATAACGCTCCTTGTGAGGTAAACACCAGACCTCCTTCTCCATCTCCCCCTCCCCAAGCCCTACAAACCACACATATAGACACTCTTTAGGAAAATAAATCATGAATATCAAAAGAAAAGTAGTGTGATAATTTCTAGTTGGTACTTGGCATCGTGATTATTCTAGCTCAGAGTCTAAACACCAGCTAGGGGCAAACAGCACAGGAGAAGGAAGGAATCCGAGTGGAAAGGGTGCCCTCACACTGTTTGTCATTTATTTTTTTCCTCGTGGATTACTGTCAGTGGCGTGACATTTATTTTTCCAAGGCTAAGTCCTTGCTATTAAATAATCAATGAATTTCTTTGGTTAAACCTGGCTCACTTTTTAAATAAACGGTGTCAGAAGTGGAGTGGCCTAGTGCTGCCTTTTTCCTCTGTAGCAGGGCAGGTGTGGAGGGACCTGGGTGTCTGCCTTCTTCTTCAGGCCACACTTCCTCCCCAGAGGTAGCATTTCACAGCCTTTATTACATCCTCCACTTCCAGGAGACTAGTGTTCCTTTTGCTTTAGATAGAAGCTCTCCTGTTAAATTAATATAGTGATCAAAAAGAGAGCCTGGGAGCAAGCTTCATGTAGATAATTAATCTCCAGTTGCTTTCGTTGAGAAATAACTGAGCTAAAATCTAGGCTTTGAGGTGACACTTCGCAACAGGTGGGAAGACCAAAGCAGGACCCTTCTGCTTTAACTGATCTGTGTGAAAATGATTGTTAAAGATTGAAGTGGAAGACAAGACTCCAAGAAGAGCTCCTTCTTGGTGATTAGTTTTTAAAGATCATGGACCAGACTTTCCCGTGAAATCACATTATGTGTTGCCCTTTGGCATCTGTTCAGCCATTGTTATCAAAGAACACAAGTCCCTCCTTTAGGTATTTACACATGTTTTGTGGATCTGCAAGAAGCTCGCCACTACTTATGTTTCCCAGTAATTACAGGTTTCTTTACACCATTATCGATTCTTAATTAACTCATATAAAGTACCTACTTTGCCAAAAGCTTTGGATAGAGGCTCCTGTGATGTGGAGAAAAATAAAACACAATTCAGTCCTGCAGGCATACACACACACATAGACACACACACACAGAGGCATTCACACACAGACATACACACACATACACACACACACACATACACACACATACACACACACACAGAGGCATTTACACACAGACATACACACACATACACACACACAAATACACACACACAGAGGCATTTACACACAGACATACACACACACATACACACACATATACACACACACAGAGGCATTTACACACAGACATACACACACATACACACACAAATACACACACACAGAGGCATTTACACACAGACATACACACACATACACACACACACATACACACAGAGGCATTCACACACAGACATACACACACATACACACACACATGCACACACACGCTATTCAACAATGACAATAACATTCAATAACCTTCTGGGTGTCAGTGCCTCAGAGACCAGGACTGTTTCTCGTTTCTCCTTGAATTCACAGTTCCTGGAAAGATGCTTTGCACGTTGTGGGCAGTCAACCACTGTCCTGGCATGATAATGGTCACTTGGACAGGAAGGGAGGCCTTTTAGGCACAGATGAGGCAGCAGGTCACCTACAGAACACATGAGCCATGTTGGGGAACTTAAGAAGGCACTACAATCGTTTTGCTCTCCCGGATCTTACCACACCTCTAAGGATGTTGGAATGCAGTCGAAAGGCACATGACATCTTTGAGTGGCAGCATATAAAGGTGTTGCCAATCAAAATCATTCTTTCGAATGACCTTACTAGATCCAATAACCAACGCTCAAGTGCATCCTGAGTGGATGGTACAGGTACAATGGGTAGGGAGAGTGCCCTGTGTGAGGAGTTCTGGAACTGCAGGCCCAGGACCCCAGGGACTTCCCAAGACTCCGGAAGTGGGGCGGGCTCTGCCCCCAGGCCTGGGACAATAAAGACAAACCTTGGCGACCCACCAGCTTCCCGTGAGCTGACTCTATTGGCAGTATATCTTTATTACCGGGAAGGATACCTCTGTCCATACGATTCTCTAGTTCCCTATAAAGTGGCTTCAGATGTTCACAGGCGAAAACACAGCTCCAAAAGGTTTGCAGAAGCAGCATTTAAAACGGCCAAATCAATCTCCCCGTGTAGACTTTTCTTTTAAAATAAACTTATCTCTGAAAACTGCCTCCTGAAGCTTTAGCTTTAACAGTAGAGCTTCACTGTTTTATGAGCTAGTGGTAAAATCCTAAAGCCAGCAGCTCCTCTAGGAGATACTAACACACCATTTACAGAAGTACTGCCATGAAAATAATACGTGGCAATGAAGTCACTATAAATTCACAGGCACTCACATGCACACACAATACATCGTATGTGTACCAAAAAAAAACCCCTTTTTCGACACTGTTTCTTTCTTTAGGATGACATAAAACAGCACAGAGAAAACCCGCTCTGCCTCCCTTCTCACTATTCTTAGCAAATCCATGCCGGACAGAAACCATCCAAAAGCAAAGGTGGCAGGTGCCTGAATGTTTCACTTTGGCACTACTGGCCTGTCTGCACGGTAACAGTAGATGCAAGAATATTTCACCAGTGCCATTGCTTAACGATGTAATATGACAGCATCCATGAAACTTATTAGCATAAATCAACATAATACTCACTTTGCAGCATTAGTATTGAAAACTTTCATCTTGAAATAGTAAGAGGAAAGAGACAATACATGATGAATTGGAATGATTTTGCTGGAATGCTACCAGATGACGATGTAAGAGTACAGGAGAACAGAGCCACACACTAACATGCATATGTCAACATGATCATCCCAAGCAGCTTTCTTTTCATTCTACAAGCTTCACACAAGTAGACGCACAGTGTCTTAAATATGGCTAAGAAAAACGAGTTAAAATTATCTTCACAATTCAAAACAGGTCGATGATGCGGTAATACAATGTAAAAGTTTCCTGATTTGCCAAACGTACCATTTTGAGAGTCTTAAATGTAGTTCCCTGAGGTTCAAACTACAGATAATTGCACCTCACAGGGCCATCACCTAAAATAAAGAAGGAAGCAGAACTGTGTCACGGAATGACATTTTCAATAGTTGATAGATGGGTTCCACTTTTCAGGGTGATAAAGCAAAGGTCATGTGCTCTTCCAACAGCAATAAACACGCTTTCCTTCCTTTCCCTCTGTTCACTCAAACCTTCAGCTTTTTAAAACATTCATCCAAGTGTTTCCTGTGAAATTATTCTTTATTTTACCCAACTGAGGAAACCAAAGGACTTGAACATTAGTCAGAGTGGTTTTCTTGAACATTCCAGAAAATGGAACTGGACTTGGAGCAGGGCCTGGGCGCATCCTTGGGATTTGTTTAGTATTTACCTACCTTGTGATGACACTGTTCACTTTTTTCATGCATCCATTCAAATTGACACATTGTAATCGTACATGTGAATGAGGGTGCAGTTTGAGATTTTGATACATACATGTTGTATAATGACCCAGTCAGGGTAATTAATATATCCATCGCCTCATGTGTCTATCATTTCTTTCTGGTTAGAGCATTCACAAGCCTCTCTTCTAGCTGTTTTGTAACCTACAATACCTTACTGTTCACCACTGTCACCCTACTGTGCAACAGAACATCAGAACTTGTTCCCCCTATCGAACTGTAACTTTGTAGCCACTGGCCAATCTTTCCCCATCCTTCCCTCCTCCCCTCCTTCCCCAAACTCTGAAAACCACTGTGCTACTCTGTTTCTATTATATCAGCTTTTTTTAAGATTCCACATATGGGTGAGATCATATGGTATTTATCTTTCCTTGTCTGGTTTATTTCACTTAACATGATTAAAAAAATGGGCAGAAGACCTAAATAGACATTTCTCAAAAGAAGACATACAAAGGGCCAACAAGTATATTAAAAATGCTCAACGTCATCAGTCACCAGAGAAATGCAAATCAAAACCACAATGAGATATCATCTCACTCCGGTTATGATGGCTGTTATCAAAAAGACAAAAGAAAACAAGCATTGGTGAAGCTGTAGAAATAAAGAGAACTTTTACAGTGTTAGCTGAAAGATAAATTAGGGCAGCCACTATGGAAAACAGTATGGAGGCTCCTGGAAAAATGAAAAATAGAACTACCATATGATCCAGCAATCCCACTGCTGTGTATATAGCCAAAGTAAATGAAATCAGTATGTTGAAGGATATCTGCACTCCCATGTTACTGCAGCACTATTTGCAACAGCCAGAGTATGGAATCCACCTAAATGCTCAACAGATGAATGGATAAAGAAGACATGGTGTATACACACAATGGAATACTACACAGCCTTATCAAAGAAAGGAAATCCTGACATTTGCAACAATATGGACCAACCTCACGGACACTATTTACTCTTAATGTATCTAGAGGATGCCAGGATTTAGCTATTGAAAGTAAACCTTATTGGAAGGTGGCATATGATGTGACTCCTGGGGTTACAAAGAGACAGCCACTTGTTTACATGCAGTTTCCCTTGCTGACCCATACATGCTGGGAGCATGTGAACAAATAATAAAGGCAAGCGTTCACTTCCAGAGCAACAATTATGGTACCTTTGTCCATGCATCTTCCCCTCTCCACCATCTGTCTTTTCTGCTCCCAGCACCTTGAGCACTGAGAAGGGAAAGATAGTACTGGTACTTTTCCATTGCAACCTCGGCAATAATAAAAGCATTGCTATATATTGAGGCCTTCTGCATCTCAGGCATCATAATCAGTACTCTTACACGTAATTTTTAATTCTTAAAATAAAATAACCCTTTGACACAGGTGTAAGCCCATCTCACGGATGAGAGACAAAAATGTGGCTTACAGAATGCAAGTAACTGTTTCCTATTCCCGCAGCACAGAAGCTAGCATTTGGACCTAAGCACAAAAATGATCTGCATACTAAGCACTAAGCGGCATTGCCTTCCCTGTCTGGTGGACTTCTGTGGCTGTCTAGCAACAG